TCTAATCATTTTAGCTGCCCTTTTCTGAACCTTTTCTAGTGCCAGTAGGAAGGTTAATGTTTGGGAGTAGATAGGAGGGTCCTATTTAACAGTCGGAAGCCATCTGCTAGGACTACCTGTTGGGCCAAATGGAAGAGTTTTTCAATTTGGTCAATATCTAAGGAAATTCCACTGATGTTAGCTCATGTTCAGGACATTTTAGATTATTGGTTACATTTGTCGTCATTGGGTCTGTCTCTTAGCTGATCGAGGGTTCACTTGGCAACGATCTCGGTGTTCCATCCATCAATCCAAGGGCAATCAGTTTTCCCAAACTCCGTGATAGTGAGATTTCTGAAAGGTATTGTCTGCCTGCTTCAACCTGTAATTGTGGGACCTTAATACTGTACTGGCTGCCCTCATGGGTCTTCCATTTGAGTCACTAGCAACTTGCTTGTTGTCTCTCCTTTCCCAAAAGACAGCCTTTCTTGTTGCTATAACTTCCACAAAAAGAGTCAGTGAAGTGCAGGATCTTATGGCAGGGCCTCCCCTTCCTCAGCTGTTCAAAGACAAAGTGTCCTTGAGGCTACATCTGAAGTTTTTGTCCAAAATAGTTTCACAGTTTCACCTTAACCAGGTTATTTACTTACCTGTATTCTTTCCTAAGCCACACTTGAATGCAGATGAACAGGAACGTCAGACATTAGATGTGAGATGATGTCTGGCATTCTTTCTGGAAAGAACTAAATCATTTTGTTCTCAGCTTTTTGTCTTTTATGCGGATCAGATGAAAGGTCAGCTAGTATCTGCACAGACAATCTCTAGGTGGATAATTTCCTGCATTACCACAGGTTATGGAGTAGCTCAGACCACACCTCCACAGACTTTATGGGCTCATTTAACAAGGGTTCAAGCAATATTGATCACATTTCTCAGCGATGTTGCAGTTTTGGACATTTGTAGGGCTGTTACATGGGCTTCTGTACGAACTTTTGCCAAAAATTGTGTGTTCGCCACAGTATCTAGGTCAGATGCAATTTTTAGGAAGGCAGTTCTGCAGTCATTATTTAAGCAGACTTTGAGTTCCACCTCCTACCAGTACTGCTTGTGAGTCACCTGAGTGAGGGAATACATCTCTGCAACCATTCAAAGAAGATAAGACGGTTACTTACCTGTACAATAATGGTTGTTCTTTTAGATGTGGGTGGAGACAAGTATTCTATGATCCACCCTCTGTCCCTCTACATGGGAGTCTTTGGTCTCTGATTCTGATGCGAAGGAACTGAGGGGGGATGGGGAGGTGCCACTCTTATATCGCCATGGGAGGGGCTATGAGGATCAGAGGGCGTGAGCGCCATCCTGCTGGGTACTGCTAAGAAAAGTTCTCTGGCTTTGGTGCATGCACACCTGAGTGGAATATATGTCTGCACCCACATCTTGAAGAACAACAGTTACAGTACATGTAAGTAACCATCTTTTTTAAACAACTGAAACCAAGGGATTAAAATGGAAATGGTTATTCAGCCTTTACTATGGCAGTGGCCATTTATCCCTCTAAAACATGGATGAACACAACAATATTTTAAAAATACATAGTCCTTGAAAAATATGATCTTAAAAATCTTCCTAAAAACTCCTTTTTGGGGGCTAGCCTTCTGCTACTGATCAGCTTCCATGTGTTTTTGCTCTCATAAGGTCTTCAGGGCAGGGATGGTCTTGTTCTTTGTATGTTTGCAAAGTATCATGCACACCTCTGGCACTGCAGAGATGATAAAATAATAAATACTTTTTGATAAGATTGTAAATACATTTGAAAAATATTTGTAGGCCTTTCAAGCTTCCATTATTGAGCTGAAGCATGTGTATTTAGGACCAAAATCTAGTTGCCTAAGTCCTGGTCTACACCTAAACATTAGATTGACCTTGCTACCTCAGTCAGGGCTGTAGTTAGGTTGACCTAACCCCCACTGTAGACACAGCTAGGTTGATGGAAGAATACTTCTGTTAACCTAACTACCACCTCTCGGAGAGGTGTATTAACTACATTGATGGGAAAACCACTTCCATCAACATAGGAAGCGTGTACGCTATGGTACTAGAAAGGCAGAGCTGCAGCACCATAGTTGTGCTGCTGTAGCTGCTGTTGCATAGGCATACCTAACTCCCCAAAACAGTCCTAATGACCTCAGTGCAACTGCTCATGTGAGTTAGATGAGTAGTATTGGCCCTAAGCATCACTCTCATGCTCCCCACAAGTTTGTTAAAAAGACTCAATTTTTTTTTGATGTCTCTTCAATGTACTTCTGGGAACTCTGTTCTAAGTCTAAGAGTCTGAAAACATGCAGCTGCCTGATTTTCATCATGATATGCAGATAGCTATACTGCAACCATCTCTAAACAGGTTCATTATTAGCCGAGATTATTAGCCGAGTTTCTGTAATGCAGCAATTACCATGAAAATTGTACAATGTAAGTTAATTGTATACATTTTCTATAATAATTTAAGGCAAAAAATTTAAGTTTCCCTAGGTATTCTAAAGAAAAAAACATCAAGAGCAGGAAAGGAATTACCTTTATTTAGTAACTTATCCTATCACAGACTTGACATACTAGTAAGTCTGGTTTCGACTAGAGGAAAACAACTCCGACACTTATTGTTTATACCTACATAAAAGAAGAGATGTTTTTTGTTACCTCAGGCTAATCGCACAATGGCCCAAAATTTCAAACTTCATTGCCTATTGTTAGGCACCTGAATCGATGTTTAGGCATTACATGTGGCCTGACTTAGAATTGCTGAGCCCCTGCAATTTCCATTGACTTCAGCATCTCTGGAAAGTCATGTCACTATTTAAATATGGAATTTGGTATCTGAATTCAGTTTGAAACTTTGGTCTAAGTGGCTTGTTCAGAGTCACACAGGCGGCGTGTGTGATTTTGATGGGGGTACTCTTAGGAGTGAGGATTTGCAAGATGAAGCTCTAGAACTTTAACAGTAATCCTTTGTGCAACAGTAGAAATTCTGGACTAATCAGAACACATTTTGACTTATTTTAAAGCACATCAGAAAATTTAGGAAAGCAAAATTCTAAATGAGAGATCTTATTTGTACCAAGGCAAACCAACATACATTATAGCTGTTGACCTTTAAGGGTATAAAGAGATATGTGGATGAAAGTCTCCGCACAAGTTGAAAATAAAGTGGCACATGGTTATTATTAGTGAGAAACAGTAAACTCATATCAGTCTGTATTTGAAGGATTTGAGGGCATAGACTTCCAGTGTGTGGGCATACATAATAAAAAGTTGTCCTTTGGTATTGCCTCCTGCCATAGCCTCATATGACTTTTGGCTCTAGCAAGTAAAGACCCTCCATAGATAATCAGAGTAAATGGTCACTTTCTACTCTGCAAGAAGCCTGTGCAAAACAATAATAATAAACTTTACACACTCTGATTTTTCTTTATCACGTTTCCTTCTTGTGCAGCATGGCTGTTCTGAAAGATAGCAGATAATTTGCTGGTCAAAATGTTCACACACCACTCATATAGAAGAAAATGAAAAATTTGTTTTCTGGAGGCTCACTTTGTACTTTGTTTTGGTTTTACTACTGTAAAGCATGCAGGTCCCTGGACATTTGGCATCAGTATAAATTTTTAAACACCAAAACTCTCATTCTCCTTAGGGTTTGAGAATGATGGCCAGTTTATGCTGGCCCTTGCCCCCAGTGTACAAGGAAAAGAAAATTCCAACGATCTTCCCTTCCCAACACTGGGACTTGCTGTAGTTGCAGTCCTGAACACAGGAACTGCTCCCTGCAGACATAATATCCCCTGGAGTTCCTTCTGGGGTAGTCTGACTGTACACTACCTCTGGCTTGTGCCTAACAGGAACCATCTGGCCCTTGATTTGAGACATAATTTAAATGTAAAATAATTTAATATAAAGCTTGGTTGAAGAACTGCAACTAGTATTTGTTTTTTGCCCACATAGTTAATGTAGACTTGTTTGTGAAAAGCTCTTGTTTCAGTCCAAAATTTTGAAGCAAATCGGTAAAATGGTTCACTTTATGAAAACGCTAATTTATATACTGGAAGTGAAAAAATTTCATGCATCTCTGCTTTCTCTACTTCCTTTTCTCACTTATATGAAAAAGTTCATTGTTGTTGTTTTTTCAACAAATACTTTCTTAAAAGACCACACAGCAATTTTTATCTAACTTGGCTGGAGTGAAGAGATCTGCACAAAAGCCATAAATTTGTTGATTTCCAAACATAAGTGGATACAGATAGGAAATCCAGATCAGATGACAGTTCTCCCTAATGAACTCTTAGAAGTATTAATTTAATTTAATTTAATTATTTAATTAATGTAAGGAGCTGGTATGTAATGAAAATTATTTCTGGCTCTAAAGAAATGAGTACAAATCAACATGATGTTTACTTTTGAACCATGTGAGGATGGCTACATAAAGGGATCATTTTCTGGAGGATAGAACAGAGGAAGGAGACCTCACTTTGTCTTGAACTCTTTATATGAGTTCAGGCACCTCACTAATTCAACGTCTCTGGGCTTCATTTTCCTCTGTAGAACTGAGATAATATCTCACAGAGATATTGTTTGGGTAACTTAGTTAGGCCTGGTCCACACTAACCCCCCACTTCGAACTAAGGTACGCAACTTCAGCTACGTTAATAACGTAGCTGAAGTCGACGTACCTTAGTTCGAACTTACCGTGGTCCAGACGCGGCAGGCAGGCTCCCCCGTCGACTCCGCGTACTTCTCTCACCGAGCAGGAGTACCGGAGTCAACCGCGAGCACTTCTGGGTTCGATTGCTTGCCGCCGAACCAGCGGGTAAGTATAGACGTACCCTTAGTGTCTTTAAAAGGTGTAATCCTCAGATGGAAGGTGCTAGATGCTGTAAATTTAGGACATTATTATCATCTATCTTAACAAAATGTTATTTCACAGACATGTGTTTTTATAATATAAAGTTGAAATTTATTTGGCATGTTTTCAGAGCTTGGCAGCTCTGGGCCACACTAGAAGAATGAAGGAACTTTCTGTATCTGAATGTAGGAAGATCACTGATATGGGAATTCAGGTAAGATAAAACAGACCCTTTTATAGGGATATAGACAGATGTCCTCTGCTTTCTCAAATTAACCATGTCAAAAACGGAGCTTATTTTCCTTTAAAACCCTCTCAATCCATCACCCAATCCTGCAGCCTTGGTGATATCACTGATTTTTCTCTTTCCTTTTCCCAGCATATTATGGCCATCAGTGAATTTTAAATTTTCTCCCTCTATATTATCTCTAAAATACTCACCTTCCTAAATATCAATTATTCTAACCTTCTCCTTTCTAGCCTCCCCACTCTCCTCTTCTGTCAATCCAAAATACGGCAGATAAATATCTTCCTGTAATATTGCATTAACTGTGACTCTCCTCCACTCATGGAGTCCCTTCACTGGCTTCTTATGTATCAGTCTTAAATTCATTAGCCTCACTTTCAAAAACCTTCACAACTCTGCTCCTGCTTATAGCTTGTCTCTATTTCCACCTATTCCCCATTTCAATCTGACCTTAGTGAGTTTCATCATAAACATTTTATGTCATAAATATTTTCCTTTCTAAAATGATTGATTTATGCTGCACTTTTGAAATTTTAATCTTGGGCTGTATACAACATAAAAATGCTGTTTGGTTACAGTTTGACCATGAGCTGTGTTCTTTAAGGTATTGCTTTATATTTTTCTATGTAGTGGTAGTCTAGAAATAAAACATATCCAATATCTTTGTTTAGAAGGTGTTCTCAATTAACAGCTACTCTAACCACAGCTATATCTTTATAATGCAAACAGAAAGGGAAAATAATTACATGGTATAGAAACGACCTTTGTTTTGAAGCCACCCTCAGGTTGAAGTTACTAAAGAGGGAACTATTTGCATTCATTGGAAACTATGACCTCTAAACGAAGTTATATAGTAATTAAATATTTTTACTTCATCGTGTCTAGCAGTTGTCATAAAAATAATAATACTAGTACATTATTTCAGCTGAAGATTTCACTGGAACAGCACATTTGATGAATTGTTTTAAGTTTCGGATTTACTGACGCATGCAGCATCTGTTTTTAATTATTATCAGTGATGTTATTTCCCATCTGAACATTTGTCACATTTACATTTTGATTGCAAAGGTTACTTGCATATTGAAATTCTGATTTATCATTTTGTTTCTGTTATAAAAATTGCTCTTTATTGTTGTAATTTTTATTAATATAGCATCATAGATAGTCATGGTGCTTTTGGAAACAATACGCAACTAAGGCCTTGACTTTATATGTGTACATACACTTTTATGCATTCACAAGTTGTGCATGAAGAGCGCCTAAAGTATGATTACAAATAGAGGATAACTTGTGCAAGCAAATATCTTTGTACATGTTCAAGCGTGATTTACATGTGCACACTGAGCATTTTGCACTTGCATCACACTTTTCCACAAAGACCTTTAAACGTTTCCACCTAAGTCCCTGCCTGTAGACTCTAACACTCTAATTCTGCAAAATACTTTTAATTACATGAGTAAATGTTATTTACTTCAAGCACATGCTTACGTGCTTTTCTGAGTAGGATGGGATTACCGTTCTTAAAGTTAATCATGTGCTGCATTGGGGCCTAAATTAAGACAAGAGAAACAGGAGGAAATGACAAATTCAGAGAGAACAATGGCAAAGACAAAAAGATCACGGAGTTGCTATATTGATTTATCAGTATAACTATCTAAAGATGATAAGCTTCCTTGAAGAAATGATTTTGAGAAGGGATTTAAAGAAGGATGGGGGGAGGTGTGGCAGACAAGGTCAGATAGGCATAAAAGAAGGTCTCTAGTACGACTGGTTGAAAAATCAAGTTTTACCTGTGTGAAAAATTGCCAATAAAATGATTTCATTTGAAATTTTTCACAGAAAATGTTGGTTTTCCTATAAAAAAATTGAAATGAAATTATAATGTGTTTCGATTTGAATTGAAATTTTTGTTTTGTTTAAAAAAATGTATTGAAAAATCAAATGTCATTGAAATCAAACATTTTCTGAAACATTTCTATTTCAATGACTGCATTTTTCTACAAAAAATAGTTGGAATCCATTTTTTTTGGACCAGCGGTAGTATTGATATAAGTGTGGGAGAAGGAAATAAAGAGGTTAGTTTGCTTGATGCTCATCTAAGAGGGAGTTTTGGGAGGTGACAAGGCCAGAGAGGTAGGAAGAAGCTTGTTTGTGAAAGGTCTTGAAGGAGCTTGAATTTGATGAAGGAGACAATAGGGAGAAAGTGTCGGGATTTGCAACAGAATTTTGGCCATTGGGTTTGCGGATGAGGTGAGTGTCAGGATTGAGATGCTTGAAAATAGAGATCTTCTGAAATTGACCTTAATTCTTAATAAGACAAACTCCCATGCTGACCTCTATCCCAAATTTAATTAACCAGCAAACACCTGTATTGGAGAGAAAATGGCCTGTGTTTTATTCATTTATCATAAAGCAGGTGATGTGATTACTATAATATTTTATTTGCTGACACTATAAAGATGTCATGTTATTTACCTTCTCCACATTTTCTAAAAATCAGTATGGAGACATACATTTCCTGCTTTGCATATCACAAAGACAAATCAACACTAATCAGGAACTTAAGACTGTTAACCTTGCCAGTGGGCAATGAGATGGGATTTATATCTTACTTCAAATGAGAACAACAGTTGGAGTAGGATATACTTTAAACTGCACCTGATAAACACTCCCGACTACATGTGACAGAGAAATGCTGAGATCCCCTATTCACAGGCCATCACACTCATGCCATAAGCAGCGGGGGACCCCATGGCTGCAGGTGTTGGCATTGCTATTGTGTAACCCCAGTCTTTGACTCCCACAGCTTTTTCCATTATAGGACTCCACATCCATCACTCTAAAGTCTTATATTATAGGAATGAGTCAGTTCCTACTGCACCCCAAGAAATGCATCTGGATTTAATTTTTTTACTCTGCATACACACAAAGATCTACAGACAAGCCACTGGCAGAATTGATGCCTTAGAGAACATTTCTGATTGGACTTTCTTGTACGTTCCATGTAATTGAAACATAAACAATGTCAGAATAGAAATATCTCCTCTAATTTATGAAAGCCAGTATATAGCCAGCTGGGTTTTTATATAAGGATCAAGAGGAATGTCACATGATGTTTAGACGCAAAGCTTGTCTTCAGTGCAAAATATGGAGTTTCTCATCCATATAAAGTCAGGTCCCTAAAATTGAACATGGCTCACAAGATAAATCAGCTTCTTGTCTCAATACATAAACTTTCTCACTACCTCTGCAATTATGCCATGAGAAACTCCCCTGTAAGTCAGCTGCCAGTAGGGAGCTCCTGGGTACATAGCAACTACAGGAGCCATGTTGCCAGGAAAGCTGGAGGTGTAAGAAAAAAAGAATGATTATGAAGTGGAGAGGCTAGGAAGTATTGCAAAGATTGAAATTTCCTGCCCCCTGTAGAGGATTTTCCTATCTAGGGAATGATCTAGACCTATCATATTATGAAATACTTTTAGATAGTTATTCTATTCCCCCCTTCCTACCCATTCCTTAGTGCTAATTTGTCTAAATTATATATATAGTACTTTTCCACCTAAGACCATCCCTCTTCTCTGAATTCCCTCCAATGTGCTGACTAGAGCTGGGCAAATGTTTTCAGAATAATCGTTTATTTGCTGAAAGCTGCAGTTTTGGGTTATGTGGTGTTGTGGGGTGGCTCTCTCTCAGTCTTTCCTGTGAAGCTGTTCCACTCTGTATAAATAATTAAATATTCATTGACACAGGGACTGGCACCCCCACCTTGGCAAGTGTCCTAACCCCAGGCTATCGAGTGCTCTCTGTGGTGCAGTGAATATTTAATTATTTATACAAAGAGGAATAGCTTCAAGAGGCAAGACTGAAAGGATACCCTATAGCCAGGGCACTCGTTTGCAGGGTGGGAGACCTATGTTCAAAATCCTGCCCCAAATTAGGCAGAGTGAGGACTCTTCCCATATCCCATGAAAGTGCCACAGGGGCATAAGGGGGGTCACTACTACCTCCTCTTCCGGTGGTTTTTGTGAATGGCATTCCACATTTCCTTTTATTTTAATAAAAAAGCAGCTAAAATCCCCAACTCAAAACAAAATATTTTATTTTACCCAAATCATTTTTTCTTTCACTAAGAAACCCAAAAAGTTTTCACTTCAGATTGATGTGAAGCAAGTTTTTTTCTGTTCAGCCAGCAAACCGAAAAATTGATGATTCGTACAGCTCTAGAATTAACACATTGTTTGCACTGAAGTGCCCAGAATAAATTTAGTCAAGTTTCAGTCTAACCAGTGCTTTTTAAAATGGGACTGTCCCCTTCCTTGTTTGCAGCAGGATAACTCTGTATATACAGCCCAAAACTGCATTTTTCTGGTCACAATATCACCTTTCAAGCTCACATCTAATTTGCTATAATCATTATCAGTTATTTTTGTCCTGTCACTGAGCATGAAATTCAATGGGAATTGCATGCTGGCAAAGTTGCTTTGTCTTTTTTGTTGACTTGGAGGCCCTGTATAGATTATCTCCCAAAAGATTCAGTCTATTAAAATAAAATGTAATATACACAAAGGATAGAGCATAGCAAAATATTCCGATGTTCTGTAACTATTTTTCATGTTGCTGTAGATGCCAGTTGTTATTGTTTTCATTAAAGAAAATAATTCTTGGCAGCACTAGGTTCCCCAGAACTCTCAGCAGGTTAAAAAAATACTTTGCAGTATGATTTTTCAGGACTTAAGCTGATAACTTGTAAAAAGCTAAGTTTGGGCTAATGGTGGTGTTCACAATTAGTGGAGAGTTTTAAAGGTAGGACCAGCTTCAGTACCTAATTTTTTATGGATATTTTAAATCTGTTCACGTGACAGACTGTAGCAGCTTGACAAATCCAGTAAAAATGATTTAAGCATATCACACAAACACTGAAATCCTGGCTGCAGCCTGTACTACATACCCTAGCTGGGAATGTAGTGATGACTTAGTCACATGTGGGGATCTAATGCTGAAGATAATTAGGCTTCTCTTACATGAGGAGAAAAAAATTTAGTCACTGGGGGTTTAGAAGTTTTCTGCACTGCAGTTAACACCCTGCAAAACTGGCATTAAAATATGAAAGCCCTGGTACCTAACATTTATAATTTCTGTATTTCCACTCTCTGCAGTCTTAAAGTAAAACATTCACAACCAGATATACACTGTACTTAAAAACAGCAGTTGCTGACCTGTCATAACCGTACTGGTCCAAAAAGCAAACTGCAGCACTAGACACAGATGGTAAGATTTAAAAACTGGTTAATGAAATAACATTGAAATTATAAAGTGGGTGTGGGTGTGGGTGTATATATACCCCCCCACACATGCAGTTCACACTTACCTACATCCATACATTGGTCATCCAAAAGTGAACATTTACCAGCAATTCCCACATCAAAGCATCTGAGATACCACAGTGAATTCATATCCTAAGTTAAGGGAAATACTGTTGTGTCTCAGATACAATAATCAGGTAATTATTGGTAAATACTGTTTTTTAGGGTGACACCTGTGTATGTGATATATTTTATTACTGATAGTATGTACCTCATATATGGAGGTGATATCTCTGTGATTAACTTCATTCATCATGCACCTTTACCTGCCACTCTTCTCACTAATCCCTCTACCTCAGCACTATTTCTAATATTAGAAACCTTGGAGCAGCTTCAAGCAGCCACCATTTTTTAACTCAGTCTGCCACATAAATGCTTTCTCCTTTCCCTCACAGAGGTGGAATTGCCACTCTATCCCATGCTAAATTACACTGGCCATAGGCCCAGGCTGAACAGTCCTGGAAGGCTGGACCAGTGACAAGTTTAAGGTTTGATGTCTTACCACCCTTCAGGGCTACAAATCATTCTAAAGGGGGGATTCACAATAGGGCCAAGCACTTTCTTCTAGCCATGAAAGATTCTGAGATACTCGATTGGAAATTAAAATCATGATATTTTGATGTATAAAATATTATTTTAGGTCATTTACATTTGTATTGTGGGCCCTGCAGAGAGGACACTAGCTCCACAATGAGCTATCCCAAAAAGCAGTTGGGCTGGGGGCTTGAAGGGTGGAGAAAAGCTGGCAATGTCCAGTTGGTTGCTTGCACTGATAGTGGTGCTGGGACATCCTCCATCTCCCTTTAGAGAGACAGGGGTTCTGGAATATACAGCATTAACCCCCGAAAAAGATTCAAGCCAAAGGAGTTCTGAAGATTCTGAGGGGGAAGGAGGAAAGTGTCATATTGTGGTTCTGAATTGGTTTGTCTGTTTATAGCAGGTTCATTGCAAAGACTCAAACATAATACAGTATGTAGATCTATCTTACCTTGCTTTCATGCAAAGTAAAGTTTTATGTGAATTTGGCTGCTGTGAAGCACAGTCTATTTTAAATTAATTCTTTAACCTGCAGCTTGTCATACATTCTGGTTCACATTCTTGGCCATCGTAGATGCAAAGTTTAAACGTAAGGTGTAATATACACTACAATAAATTAGTCAGGTTTCTTTCTTTGATCTCTTCAGAACCCATTTTCAAAGGAGGGTGCAACACATGTACTTGCAAAAATGTCCAGATACTGCAAGAACCTGTGAGCAAACTAGACTGTATTATTAGTACACCTCTACCCCGTTATAAGGCGGTCCTCGGGAGCCAAAAAATCTCACCGCCTTATAGGTGAGACCGCGTTATATCGGGTTTGGTCCGGTACGGCGTACTGGCTTCCCCGGCGGTGATTTAAAGGGCCCGGGGCTCCACACGAATTCGGATATAACGCGGTAAAGCAGCGGGGCTTGGGTGGCGCTTTAAAGGGCCCGGGGCTCCCCGCTGCTTTACCGCATTATATCCAAATTTCTGTTATATCGGGTCGCGTTCTATCGGGGTAGAGGTGTAATAATAATACTTTGTATTTCTATACCACATCCCATCTGGGAGTCTCCAAAGCACTTTACAAACATTAATTAATAGTCTCACAACCATCATTTACATTTTTGAGTTAAGGAAACTAAGGCACAGAGAGGCTAACATCCAAATTTTAAAAAATGGCCTCTAAGTTTGGATATTTCCTTTTATGGGTGTCCATCTTTAAACAACTAGATCTGAATTTCAGAGGTGCTGAAATTGAAGTGAATGGGATCTTCAGGTGTTCACTAGGTCAGAAAACCAGACTGTAAGTTTGTTGAACCCTCGAAAAACGAAGGCACCCATAATTAGAGGGCCTTTTTGAAAAGCTGGATTTACATGACTTGCCCAAGGTCACACAGCAGGTTAGTGGCAGAATAGGGGCAAGAAGCTAGACCTCCTTAGTTTCAGTTTTGAGATCTAACACCTAGGCCATATTCTCTTCCAATTAATCTGCTCAGACATAAGTTGCCTATTTTGCTTGCCAAATGCCTTTTAATATGTACAGCAAGGATATCTGAAGGCACAATAGAGAAAGAGTATTTTTTTGGCCCATTTGGAAATGTAGCCCTTAATGTTTGGATATGTTCATTGCAAAAGACACAAACTCAGTCTTTTATCTATCTTAGTAAGTGCAGTGAAACTTAAATGAAAGAGACTAGGTGTGATCTGAAGAACACACTTTGTGATCTACCAGTGTCAGAAATGAAAAATAGCCACCTGGTACATTTCTTCCTTTTTTGCTGGGCGTTATGGAATGCAACTGAGTGATCTCATTGATAATATATATTTTATTCCACATGTTCAATATGAGAAAAAGAATAAAAGAATCAGTTACAGTGATTGAAGTAAATCAGAAGATTAGTGTGAATGTATTATAAAACTATAAGCATCCAAAAAGATACATGAGATTGATTTGGGTGTTTGTAACTGTGTTTCAGAAGTTCTGCCAGGGTGCAAAAGATCTAGAATACTGTGATGTCTCTTACTGCTTTCAGCTGACAAATGAAACTGTCAAAGCTTTGGCATTTAACTGCCACCAACTTACATCCCTCAACATAGCTGGTTGCCACAAGGTATGTACAAGAGCTGGGAAGGGTAGTTCCAGAAAGGCTATTACATAAAATGAAATAATGTAGCATTCAGACATTTGACTTGCTGATGTCCACATTTTGCAACCATCCTATAGCTTATTCTTCAACATTAAAAAAGTTAATTATGTTATATATAATAATCACCAATAATTAAAACAAATGAACTAACATTGACCTTCTGAATATTGATCTGGTCACAAATTTTCAAATGCTTTAAATGATTTAGGAGCCGTGGTCCCATTGATTTTCCATAAGAATTAAGCTCCCAAGTGCCCAAGTCACATTTGAAAATGGGACATAGGCACCTAAGTCACTTAAACATTTTGAAAATGTTAGGTATAGTTAGTATATTATTATCTGTGTGTGCATATGTTACTCGTGAGGGAATTCTGCGCCAAAAAAATTAAAATTATGCGCACAATATTTTAAAATTCTGCAAAATTCTGCAAATTTTATTTGTTAATAAATAAATGTGGCTCCAGCTTGGCAGTGGGGAGCACAGGCCACTGGCTGCATTGAGGTGGGAGATCACCCTGAAGTCCCCACATCCCCCAGTACAGAGACTCAGCAGTGAGGCTGCACCTGATCCTGACACTGTGCAAGAGCTGGGCCTGCCCCAGAAATGCCCCAGGGCCCTGTCCCTCTGCACCAGGTGTACCAGGTGTGGGTGGGCAGGCTCAGCCCAGAAGGATCCAAGTATGGAGGGGCTTAGTGTGGGGGGATCCAGGTGTGGGGTGAGAGGTTTCTCGGTGGGGCAATCTGGGTGCGAGTGGCTCAGTGGGAGATCTGGATGCACAGAGGCTCATTGGGGTATTCCTGGTGCAGGGACAATGGGACTCTGCAGGGGATGTAGGTGAAGGTGGTTGGGGCTCCGGGGTGGCGGCGGGGGGGGCTGGATGTGGGAGGCTCGTCAGAGGGGTCCAGGTGTAGGGGAGTAGGGCTCGTCAGGGTGAGAGTTCGATGGGCCTGCTTAATGGGGGAGCCCCAGCTGTGGCCAAGGGGAAGTCGCATGCCTGGCTCCTTCTTCCCCCTGCAATTCCGCTATCCCTTTTCTTCTCCATCCCCCTCCCTTCACTCCCCCATTCCCCTTCCCCGTCCTATTCCACCCCCTTCCTTCCCCACTGCCTCTTCCCCCCTCATCCCCCTTCCCTCATTTCCCCCCCCCCCACCCAGCTCCACTATGCGTTGCACAGAATCGAAAACTGGAAAGCTCCCAGCACACAGAAGGGGAGCACGACTCTAGCACTAGGACCCAGGAGGTGGTGTTCAGTTGCAGAGTCAGCGGAGTGGAGACACAGTCTCCTTCAGCTGGGCAGCTGTGTGTAACCCTTTGTGCCCCCCCATTCCTCACCTCTGGTTGGAGGGGGACAATCCCCCCTGCGTCCATGGTCACCCCTGGCCCTCCCTCCACCACCACCACCACCCTCACCCCACACACAGCTTCCCTTTGCCCCTGCCGTTTTCTGCAGGGAAACACAGGAAATCTGCGGGGGAGCCGTTTTCTGCAAGCACACAGTCCCGCAGAATCCCCCCAAGAGTAATATGTGTTACAGTTGTGGGCTCTGTTGTATTTGGTGTATTGACAATGGAATTTTGTGTATTATTATACATACGCAGATATCAAAGTTTGCTTCAGTGAAGTTGCTGAATTACTTTTATTCTGTATTTCTAGTTATTTACACATTTTAATTAAAATCGTTTCCAGTTGCTAATGTATTTAAATAAGACTCATCACTGACGTAACGCCATTCAGCCTCACCATTATCTTGTACAGTGATGTGACAATTTTCCATATCTTTTACATTGTACTCTTTAGCTAGATGCTAGGATCGCAGTGGTCTGTTTTGCCCCAACAGAACTTGGGTTCCGTTTGCATTTTACTGCTAACATAAATACCTAGGTCATTTTCATTAGTCCCAGTACTTACTCAGCGCATCTACTCCCTGTGTGTATTCAATCATATATGCTTGCTTGCTTGAGTAATAACAATAAGTATTTACTGCAGTCTAGCAATAGCCATCCCGATGTAATTTTAAAAAAAAGTTTGTGTCAGCAAATATTTCCCTCTGCAGAAAGAGTCCTGCTTCTATGGGTGAGGTTTTTAAAAGTGCTTATGTTGGCCTAATTTTGCTCCCACTGAAGTCAATGGTTGATGTTGAATCCTTTTAAAAGCTACCCTCAGCCATTAGCAATTAAATGCAATGGCCAAAATGTCAGCTCCAGAGGTACCTCACGTTTCTTCCCTGCTTTTAAATGTTCAATTAACTTTTCAATCATAATAATAAACAATAATGCTGTACATGGCAATCTACAGGCAGAGAGATCTCCCCATACTAAGTGAAGATAGACACTTGCATCCCACCACATTTCTCCTCTCCCCACCGTGTCCATATATCGTCTCCTTAAAAAGATTATGAAGTAAATCTGGTACCTGTTCACAGTCTAGGATATTTGGTCTCCAGCATCAAGAATCGTTCAGACAAACCCATACGGGATCTTGCAAGCCTTCTGTTGGCTTTAACTCAGTTTGAAACTCTATAAAGTACTATCAAATGGGGGGGCCTTTGGCAATCTCCAGCATAAGTACAGAGTATCTAGCTGCCAAGTAGGAAATATTTTCCACTCAGAAACTATTTAAAAATGATCAGAAAAAGCCTAAAGCAAGATCTAATCTCCTGTTCTAAGAGGGACAAGTTAGTTTGCCTGATATAGCCTGCAATATCAGCTATATAAAAATAACTGAATAAACAAAAAGGCCATAAAGAGAAAACATAGGAACTGTAATTTAGGAAATTCACTTCCCAGTAAGAGTGTTGTGGGATGTGCTCTGGAAACTAGGACATTCCCAGAAAACTAGCACAGCTGACCACTGTAATCCTTTTCATATTGAAAAAACATAGACTTTAGTGAGAGCACAGTTGAGCTCCCTGTCATCTATATCTCTATACTTACATTTCTAGGACATGTAGAATAATCATCTTCCAAACATTGCTCATTTCACAAAAAACCTCAGCATGCCGTTTGCGTATAGCACAGTCCCACCTCCTGTGTAATTTGTGAGTTCATAAAGCCAATTCAAGGAATAATTGTTAAATAGTTTTATTTGAAAGAAAGAAAGAAAGAAAGATTGTTGTGGGCAGCAAACCACATGAATGAGAAAAAATAGCGAGGGCTGAAAATGAATGAATAAGCCAATTAAATAATGAATATCTAAAGATACAATTCAATGGAAAGATGACCTCTGATATGAACAGGACTGGTGTATCTGACTAAAATAGATTTCCCTGAATAGGGCCTGATCCTGCATCTATTTAGGTCGGCAGCCAAACTTCTTTTTACTTCAATACAGAAGCGGGCCTATTCTGAGTCAATTGCAGGACTTGATGACAGCCCTGAGGAAAGGTGTTACAGAACGGCATCTCCCCAGGTGGAGCTCCAGGAGGGACTGCGTGAAGGGAAAGTGCACTGGCTGTCCAGCTTTGTGGATGGGAAGGGGAGACCTTGTCTCCTCCTTGTCCCTGTTAGACTCCCATGATCACCGGGACTGAGATTGTTCTTGGCCCTTGTACAGGAAGTACAAGGGTGGGGAAGGCTACTCCTTATTCCACTCCATTCGAGCCATGGATAATCTGGGCTTGATTGAATACCTATTAGAGGATTTTTTTGCATTCATCAAGTTTCCTTTAGATGTTAGGCCCCAATTAAACAAGGTGCTTAGCCAAATGCATAACTTTAGGCATAAGTATTCCCTTTGAAGTCAATGGGGCTACTCACCTATTTAAAGTTACACACATGCTTAAGTACCTGGCAGAAATGAGGCCTTCTATGGTGCCCAAAGCAAACTTCAGTTTGCATTACTGGTGATCAGTTCCAGATCAGACTATGGAACTGTGAAGTGAAGCTGAATAGTTCTGTCTTGGACAAACTGAAAGGCACCCTAGGCTATAAACAAAAGCAGTCACAAGACAACACACATTGATGATGCAGTACTGAAATATGAAATAGGTGTTAGTAAAATTAAAATTCTTTCTCCCTGTAGTTAACTCTAAAATGGATCAGTCTAACAGTTTAAATGGAATAATCTGAGAACAGTTAATCCTACCAGATGAGATATGCTATATGCAAAATTATGGGGTTGGGAGTATTGAGCCATTTCAGACTTCTGATTAGCTGAAACATCCCTACATGCTTTGGAATGTACTGGAATCATATTTAACTGACACCAAATATACTCCCAACATTTAACTGTTACTTATAGTCTTTTTTGTCTCCTATTTCTGATAGTCAGAATTCATCTGTTCCATACATTTCATGTCCTATGTGGCACTTTTCAATATCATCTTCTAGAAATGATACACTTCAAAATTTTGAGTTGGCTGTTGTGTTTTGTTTTTTCTTTGGAATCTCCAGCAATCTTCTAACTTCTGTATGTGTATTTCTTTTGCTTGATTTACAGATGACGGATTTGTGTGTTCAGTATTTGTCTGGAGTCTGCCATTATCTCCACTTCTTGGATATCTCAGGCTGTGTACATCTTACTGACAAAACACTAAAGTACCTTTGGAAAGGTTGTACGCAACTCCGGATTCTTAAGATGCTGTACTGCAGAAATATTACCAAGTAAGATGTTGCTTCCTGGGCCAAAACTTGAGAGATCAGTGTAAAATTTGAATGAGTACAAATATCATTGTCATTACTAGTTTCATTAAGAGTAGGCCAAAAACATGGGTTTTTTTATGAAATTGGAATTGAAATGTAAAGTGATCTATGTCACAACCTGGTCCACTCCCCCTCTGGATGGACACCAGTTTGGTGTGAGTGGCCCCAACCACTGGTGGGCAGAGCCATGTCATTGTTCCTAGCTCTGAGGCCTCAGAAGCACAATCCCAGATCCAGACCCCACATCTGCCACCCTTCCTTGGAACATGGGGCTCCACAACCCAGCCACCTTCAACCCTGAAACCAGTGATTCAGACCTCCTGAGCCTCCAGATGTTTATACATGTTCCTTTAGGGTCCCACCTCACTGTGGGCACTCTGAGCTTCTTGATTAACACTTTCAGGGACAACATGACAGCCTAGCAAGGAATACAGGCTTAGCCAAGGAATTTCTTAACCACAGTCATTTTTATGCTGAAGAACCCACTAGAGAGTTAGTTCTTTGCTGCATCCATCCTTAGTCTGATTTTACCCCATCAGTGACTCTGAGGTCTGGTCAGCGTTTCAGGCAAGACAGACCTTCCTGCTTTCTTTCTTCAGCCTGGTCTTCTGGCTTGTGGTGGTGGATGGCCTCCCTTCTCAGATAAGCCCCCTTTTTATTCTAGTCTTTGACCCTGTTTTGCCATATGCAGACTGGGAAATTCTAGCCCCCATTATGCAAGCCCCATGTGAAGATAACTATTATCCCCTGAGATTGGCCAGTCATTGAGAGTCACTCAAGTTGATGGCTCTTGTGACATATCTTGATAGTCCTCTCTGAGGTGTCCCACACACCTCTAAGCAAGATAGTGTCTGGAAGAGAATGACCTTGTCCAGTTCAGGTTGTTTTATTTATTCAACACAGAACACAAAATGGAAGACAGGATAGAGGCCAGGGTACAAAAATGGAAGTAATGAAACAAAACTGAGTTCACAGTTTGGTACACACATATCCCACTCTGTCACAATATAGTTCCACTTTTTAAAAAACTTAATGTTGTATTTCAATACCTGTACTGGGAAGCTGACAAAAAGCTACATTCACTTTCTAGGCAATAATCACTGCAAAATCATCATTACAGTACAACCATTCTTCTTCTTCGTATGGCTGATGTAGATGTAGAGCAACTACTATAATTTTACATTTAGATAGTTAAGCCAGATAATTGCATCTGGAGTAGCAGAGTGTATTGCTGTGATGCCTCCTTCGTATTTGTGAATTGGGCATTGAGTTGTTATATGTTCCCTGATCTGTTCTGGGTGACCACAGTCACACACTGGAGAGTTTTTAATTTTCTATTTTTGCAGCAAGTATCCGCATCTGCCATGGTGTGTGCCAATGTGATTTAGGGTTGCACATAAGCTTTGCAGAAGATTAAAGCCAGGGATCTTCTGTGTCGGATCTTTCACAAGGCATTTGTTTGTGACTTCTTGTGAACTCCGTTCGGCTTTCCAAGCTTCATCAGGGTTGAAGTTACAATATAACCATGATTCTACATTTATTAATCGTGATTTAGAGTTTCAGCAGGAAGAATGCTAGTGTTATCGTTGAATTTCATGGACTATTTTTAGGGTTCCATGCACTTCATTCACCACTTCCATAATTTCAATGAAGGAATAATAAGCAGAGACTTGTCATATATAATATACAACTCACCAATAGCCCCAAATTCTCTTTTTCCATACTAACCAACTGTTATCATTAAGGAACTTATTCAACCCCAATGTTTACAAAAACTGGGGCAAAGCCTGGCTGTTTTTCAAAGTGTGCGATGTCTGTGTTCTACATTTCCTAGATGTGTTCACATTTCAGAGACCATTACTAGCGTTTGCGATGATGGAGTCTGTGTAAAGTGAAATTAGTCTACAGAACAAAACATGCTATTCCTGCACACTCTACAAATATTAAATAAATAATAGAAGAAATATGGTTTTAATTTAAAGATGCCCCAGGACATCTATAAGCCATGTGCACTTCATGCTGCTAGAAGAATTCCTCAGTTATTTATTAAACACTGCCCGGGCCTACCAGACTTCACTGAGCAGACAGACCCAGCCATATATATACATTCAGGCACATCTCATGACACTATGTTACATCCTTTTTACAATTTTATTTTTATTGTTAGATTAAAAAAAAACGCAAAATCATGAAATCTTGTCAGCTGCAAACCCGTAGAGCTCTCTAGGAAGCAGTTACAAGCAAATCGAGGGTCCATCCTTTCCAATCTCAGATACTGTTAGAGACGACATTTGCCAGTCTAATAACATGCTACAGGTTTCTGCAAATATTAAAATAAAAAAACATAATTTGGAATAAATATGGCCTGCTGCATAGGTCCATATCTAGAGATTAACGACCAGTTAACTAATCACATCTGAGTGCCCCAGAGAATCCTCATGTAGGCGTGACACTGGTACAGCCTGCTTCAACTACTGGATGTGAAAGAGGCAGAATAGTCCTCAGTGTATGGCAGCATAGGCGGCATAAGGGTATTAGCTGTGATTCACTTAGGACTAATGCTGTTTGGTAAAAAGGAAACATTCCTCAGTATTTTCCATGTGTTTAGTACATATGGGTGACAGGACGGGGAGGCCTGGGCCTCCCACACATTCCTGAAGCTCAAAAATCAAGGCAGCACAGTGATCCCATAAACTGGATTAAGGATTAAGCAGAAGTTTGCACTTTCAGAAGCAATTAAAAATGTCTAACAACATAAAAATCTGTTTCTAGCCACTGTACGCTGCTGTTTTTCAAATGTGACGCACACAGAAACTTATTTCTGGACTCAGGCTCCTTGAGCACCAAGTTTGAGCCCCCAGGGAGTGTGTTTGCAGGAGCTGTAAAGTCATAAAATAATACAGCTTTGCAGCTGACAAGGCTCAGAAAAGCTGAGAGCTTATATAACCCAAGTGCTCTTACATAATAGAGGAGGTTTGCAGTGTGCTGGGTTAGGTTCCTTCTTACCTTTCCCTTTTGCTCCCTGCCTTCCCTGTCTCTCCTTGCTGCACACACCCATTTCTTAAGGCCAAAAGTTTCATTCTGACTCAGGCACACCAGTTGTTGGCATTAATGCTGATTATTATTTGTTGGCAGCGTCCCCTTACCCCTCCCCAAAGTGTTGGCGCCAAGGCTCTAGATCTATAAATGCAATGTTATATAATGCAATGTTCCTTAACCCATGTATTTTGTTACATGCTGACCGATAAACAGGGCCAGCTCCAGGGTTTTGGTGCCCCAAGCAGCCAAAACCAAAACCAAAAAAAAAAAAAAAAAAAA